AATCACTTACCATACTCGACATAGAGATTGATATAAATCTGCTGTAAAGCAACTCGCATGCTCGGGCTCTTGACATCTGTGAGCATGACAAACTTGATATTCGTGGGAGTTTCGTAGTAATGAAGCTTGTATTGGCTGGTGCGATAAGTGACGAAGCTAGGTGTATAAGTATTCGTCAATTACGATTCAGAATTCGATAGAAGCAGCTCAATCGCTATATTCTCACCTGTCATCCTCGCCTCCTAACTTGCGCGCCATGTTTCGAAGGGAAAAAACAGTACCGAAAATGAGCTTCGCATCGTCGTCGGTCGTCCGCGCAGATTGGCCAAAAAGAGAGGGGACACCATTCTGAGTAGCGACTTCAGAAGTCGGTCGCGGCGATTTACCGACTATCGAGGCCGGACGGGGAAGCCATCGCCTCTTATAGATACACTCGGCTGGAAGCGTGCAAAGGGCCAGATCAGCTATTGTGTTTGTTTACAATAGAAAAGGGAGATTATTACCGTGGCGGTCGAAGATATAGAACGAATAGACGACCATTTCACCAGATGAATATCGACAAGGGCAACCAGAATGCCGAGAGAGCAAGACAATACAGCAGATCTCAAGCCGTGGAAATTAACTCAACAACGACGGTGACGAGTAACAATAAGAGCGGTTCAATTAGGCTCGTCGAGACAAGAATGCTCGTGGGCGGTGAGAAACCACTTCCCCTCTCTCTCGAAGTGGTGTCAACCACCCCTTTCGCTCCCACTCAAATAATATCATCACATTTACTCTGTACTGTGGAACAGGGTAGTCCGATAGGCGATATTTAGCAATTTGGCCACATTCCTTCTCCTTGTGCGGGCCTTTAGTTACTCTCGTTTCAGTCCCTTTTTGACCTGTCATCGGAACTTCGACTCTTCCCCGATATTCCCCACATTCCGCTTAGGCATCCAGGTTTGTTATCAGTGCAATAATACTCAGCATTTCACCCTTGAAGAAATACAATTCTGCAAGACGTAATTCATTCCCATTCCATTGGCTTTTGAACAGTTTGAGGTTCATTCTATGGCCGACGAAATTGCTGAACCCAAGCACGATGATATTCTCAACGCCATGAATGAACTTCCTAAGCCCAAGCCTAGCCGTTACGCGTGAGTCGAACTATACTCCTCCCAGCTTCGTCATTCATTCTTAGATGTCACTGCGCTCGATTATCCTGCATATCTCCTCAATTCAATTTGCAAGTGTTCATTGCTGAATAGATTTTGGGATTAGCTCCACGCCTTCCTCTGAAAGCCCGCAGAGGCACTATCGCCGAAATCCGAAAGTCCGACGTCCAGTGAAGGTTATTATCATTCGATCACTTTTTCGCTGCGTGCGATTGACTAATTCATTGGGGGCAGGAAACCCTGAATGCTCGCTCCGAGTATACCACGAGCCAAGATGATGGGACTGCTGAACACAGGATCAATCAATATATCATAAAGCAGGAGATTGGCAGAGGATCTTTCGGTGCGGTTCACCTCGCTGTAGATCAATATGGGAATGAATTTGTAAGGCGACTGTCCTTCTGATACGTAAGCCGGTTTGCTGTATGTGGGATGAACGCTATGCTAACAAAATGTCTTTCCACAGGCCGTCAAGGAGTTCTCTAAATCACGACTAAGGAAACGCGCCCAATCACATCTTCTCCGCAGACCTCGAGGCCCCAAACGACCATCAGATGGCTTCAATTCTCCTCTACATCGGCATCCGTCGGGGAATGAGGACGAGCACGGCAAGAACCCGCTTTATCTCATCAAGGAAGAGATCGCCATCATGAAGAAGCTGAACCACAACAATCTGGTGTCTTTGATTGAAGTTTTAGATGACCCCACAGAGGACTCCCTGTATATGGTGATGGAAATGTGTAAAAAGGGCGTGATCATGAAGGTTGGACTGGAAGAAAGGGCCGACCCTTACAGCGATGAACAGTGTCGCTGCTGGTTCCGCGACTTGATTTTGGGAATTGAATATTTACATGGCCAGGGTATCGTGCATCGAGATATCAAACCGGACAACTGTCTATTGACGAATGATGATGTTCTCAGGATTGTTGATTTTGGAGTATCCGAGATGTTTGAGAAGGATTCGGATATGTTCACAGCCAAATCGGCTGGCTCGCCTGCCTTTCTTCCGCCGGAGCTATGTGTGGTAAAGCATGGCGATGTCTCGGGAAGAGCAGCAGATATCTGGTCTATGGGTGTTACTCTCTACTGTCTTCGCTATGGGAGGCTGCCATTTGAGAAGCAAAGCATCTTCGAACTCTATGAAGCCATCAAAAACGACCCCGTTGTATGCGAGGAGGAAACGGATGATAACTTCAAAGACTTGATATTGCGGATACTGGAGAAGGATCCGAGCAAAAGGATTACAATGAGAGAGTTGCGAGTGAGTTGTTTCCTGCTGTATATCAACAGCAACACGTGTCTCATGGAATAGTCCAGGCGCATCCCTGGGTGACAAAAAACGGTTCCGACCTTCTCTTGCCTGAGGAGGAGAATATTGCGCAGATAGTGGAGGCCCCAACTGAGGAGGAAATGAATACCGCTATAACAAGGAATGTGGGCCACATTATGGCTGTGGTATGTCTTTGTGTGCCCTGACGCTACTCTATCTTCCCACGGAATCAACTGATATAAGAGCTACAGATGAAAGCTGCGAAACGTTTCAAACGGCTTCTAGGTCGAGCTAAAGCCGAGCCGGTGATACAAAGTATACTTGGCCAGGAGTATGAGAGCCATTTCGTGGAGCCGCCGCTCGAGATGGACCCGGAAGAGAGCTTCTCCGCCAGCGATATTCTTATGGGTAATAAAAGCCAGAGTGTAACTTCATATAACAGAGAGCCCTGGGAACGTGAGAACGTTCTGAAAGGCTATCATCAAAAGCGCGAAAAATCACCCGAAATTAGTGATTCAGCCAGCAAGTATACTGCCCTACAAGACCCTGTGCTAAGGAGCTCAACCAAACATTCTGTGGGCATCACACTGGAGAGACAAGATTCAGGCTCTATCTCCAGTTACAAACTTCGGACCAACTCGGTCGACGATCTACAGACGACTTTCTTTCCTCAGTCCCCTTCCCCCCAGAAAACGCTGTCACGGGCCAGTTCGGCTACAACAAAGCGCAGCGTCGAGGGTACCAGGGGCCACGCACGGGATCCTTTAGAAGGGGTATTCCCATACCTCTTTATTGGTCCATCCACCTACACTGGGTTGCATCAGGAAGGAGAGCATGATACCGATATGGAGCGCAACCCGTATCAATCGGAAACCCTATTGTCAGACGAGCCCCTAGAGACGAGTCTAGCAGGGAATGAGGCTATCCCTATAGTGAGCGAGTCACCAGGGGCTGCTGAATTCGACATTTATGAAACAGCGTATCGACAGGAGATCGCTCGAATCCGTAAACTCACTCTGGCTCGTGAAGGTACTCTACCCAAAGTGTACTTAACTCGGCGTGTTGAAGATAAAGACGAGGTCTTAAGGCTTGTCGAGCACGGATCTCTTGGGACGAACCACGAAACTGCCGCTTGCGAAGCAGATGCGGTTATTGGTGAGAAGATCACGGCGCCGTCCAGCCCGCGCTCTGAAGTGAGCATGATAAAAGCTCAGCTGGATGAGCAGCTCAAGTTAGACGCAAATGGAGCCCTTGCTCAAGAACAGCTGTCTGCACCTGTTACCACGGCAGATCACGAGCCTGAAACCTCGCCGCTCGCTGCCACTAAATCCAAGGCTACGGGAGGCTCGTTGACGTCGTCACCGGAAAACGCAAAAACCAAGTTGAAGAACCTCTTCGATCGTGTCAGGGGCAATAACAGTCCTTGAGAATATCGAAGATTGAGTTGTTGAAGCCGACTACAATTGGCACCGTCGGAAGATTGTCCTTCGACGTGGTGCTCCACTATATTTATCTGCGCCTACTATTTTGTGTTGAGATGAATGATCTATTGCCGGACATATGACCTGTAGCTATCAACCTCTATGGTATGCACAGAATCTTCACATAAGTAGTTTTACCAGCTTAGTCTCTGGAAAATATAGCAAACGCTCAAAAGGACATGGTTCGACGTAAGACATGTGAATATGCCTGCGATGTTGACACTAGTTATTATACATACAAGGGCATCAGACCCATCCAGGTGAGCACATAAGACGTCTCATGAAAGAAAAAGGGGGAAAGAAAAATAAATAACGCAAAATGGAGGAGGAGCAGGAAGAAGAAAAGGAGGAACGATGACGAAAGGCAATGAACAACATGAGAGATGGTGGCAATATGCAGCCGTAGTCGTAAACTGATTGATCGTAGATGTCGAGCTTTGAAATGGAAAGACACGGGAGAGGCTATAGGGGGAAATGAGATATGCAATAATGATCGCAGATGAGGAAAGGAACATCGTTGTCGTAGGAACTTGGCGCGTTCAACATGGCCACGTACAATAGGACGGATTTCGAATGAAACTAAGTATGTTCAAGGCTGAGGCTGAGGCTTGACCTATCTCGCTTCTGCCGCGTGAAACTATGAGTATCATGGTGCGCATATGCATTCGTCGGATTGGATAAGTCAGAGAACATCCGTCAGAGAAAGTGATGAGACCTGTGCTCTTCGGCTACTCAACGCGCAGATGTATCAAGTTGGTGGTTTGAGAGCGACTGCCGATCGTGAGCAATCAGAATTCGTCGAAAAAGAAAACAACACAGGGATTGGTAAAGAAAGAAGCGAAGATTGCATCGAATATGCCGTTAGTCGTAGCTCTCTTCGCAAGTCGTCTTCCTCAACTGGTTCGTGATGAGAGAGAACCAATACTATCTATCGCTCAAAACTGAAGAGTTCATATCGTTCATCGTAAGCCACCATGGCTTTTAAAGGAGAGAGGGAACATAAACGGTTACAACAAAGAAAGAGATGAAAGGTGCAGAAAGAAGAAAGAGAGAGACAAGACCTTCCTGCACTTCTTCTTTAGCCAGATGATGTCACTCGGGTCTTCTTTCGGCTGAAGTGGCAGCAGGTACTTCAGGAGTAGACAATGCGGGCCCTTCTGGCCGTCTGCTTACAGGATCGGTCAGGATACGTCGACTGCTGTCTCCAAAGGAGAATCTTTCGGAGGGACGAGGCTCAAATGGTCGCTCCCCGGGATCCATCCGCGCGACCGGCTCTGCGCGGCTCAGTTGTAGCGGTTGGGGTGAAGGTAGAGTCTGCCGTTTGTCGGTCGGTCTTGGAAGCTCTCTTAGTATCGGTGCCGGGTCACGACTCGGTACCCCTCTTGCTCGTCCGTCCTCGATGGGTGCCATGAGCGTGACTGGCCTCCCAAGCGGCGGTGCATAGCGCAGCTCTGGGTTCTGGACTTCCACCGGCCGGATACTCGTCTGAGGCGTAAACGAAGTGTTTGAAGACATGACTCCCGGTGGGCTGGCTGGTGTTGAAGGAGCTTTCAGCCTATGAGATCCCGACCTTCGGGGAGGAGGGTATGCTTCGCCTCGAGCCTCCGCAGCCGCTTTTCGTCGCTCCGCTTCGGCTTTGCTTGGCCGGCCTCGTTTCCGGGGCGGCTCGCCTTTGGTCGTAATACTATCCAGACTCGGGGAAAGGAGCGCAGAAGCGCCGCTCTCACTACTGTAAGAGGCCGTGCTGGCAGCTGGCCGAGGCTGGATAGCGCGTGGGGCAAGAGGCGGTTTGTCCAAGAGGAAAAGCGGCCGCTTTCGCATGTGACTGCCCTCGGATGGAACTGCTGGTGGTGCAGACAACTCATGACGGGGCGGTGGAAACGATACCAGGCCCTGATTGACAGGGAGAGAGATTTGTGGCTGTTGCTGCTGCTGCTCTTGGCACATATTGTGAAAAGCGAATTGACAGGAATTCAGGGAACGGCCTGGACCAGAGTAGATTAGCAGAAGCCAGGCCGAACTATCCACTCTGATCTGACGAAAACCTCGACTCGGTGCGAATACGACATGAGACGCACGCACCCAAAAAGACGAAAACAACATGAGAGAAGTAGAGGACCGGCATATCTGTACCTGTTGGAAGAGGAATATCCGTCCAGCTTGGGATGATATGGAAATCTTTTATCATTTTGACCAGCTGGCTGGAAGGGACTCCTGCCTTCTTGAGAATCTCAGTAAGTAGAGCGTACTGGAAACATAGTCAGTATGACAGAATGTGCGAACATTGGAAACCGCATGGAGCATCTTGATGCATGCTTGACGATAGAAGGAGTGTGGTCTTACCCTCTCCTCTTCGGTCCATGGCCTTTCCGATATATTCGACATATCCCATTGATCATGGAAGCGACTCTAGCTAGCTTCCTTCCCTCCCAATCCGTCAACAAACGAAGCCAGGATAATGTTCGCGCTTCAGTGCAAGTGGAGTCCAACCTAAAAAACGGCGCGATGCGCGACTACGGGTTCAACGGTATCGAGAGCAAAACAGCAAACCGAACACGAAAAACAAAAACAAAAAGTAAGTAAGAGAGATACCAACAGGAAACCAATCTAGAAGATGACAGAAGTGAAACAACCACAAAGCCTCCCAAGTGGAACAATGCGTCTACAGGGGCGTAAGTACAAAAAAGCACGTGGATTTTCCAGAACCAAATCAGGAACTAGGCTAAGAGGGTAGCGAAGGCCGACAAAGGAAACTGCGGAAGGCAATGAAGATCAAGAACAGCGGAAGATGGACAAAGGTCGGTACTTCGAATAGAAGGCATGAAGTTCAGACTCGCATCCGCTGATAGACTGGACAGATCTCGATATATGAGGCGACGGCTGAATGACGCAAGGAGCAAAGGATATATCGAGGGATCCGCGAGACAAAGGCAGATTGGCAACTTGGGATGCTAGATATATCGCCAGTCGCCGCGAGAATGGTCCAATTCGCTGGATTTGGGGAAGAAACTATGGAAAACGAACGTCAAGAAATAAAAGAAGGAAGATCGATAACGACAGCAACGACCGCGACAGCGACAACAAAACAATGGGTTTGAACCGTGCTGTGGCCACCAGATAGGAGACGTCAAGAGGACCTATCGTCGTCGACGATCGACTGGATATCTGGAACAAAACAGTCTCAATGATGCATGTCGTACCAAGGACGAGTAGTTTCAATCAGAGAATAACGAAATATGACAGGGAAACTAAAAGAATGGGAAAAAGGGGGAATGGGACGAAAGAAAGTCAATCAGACAGCAGAAAGCAGACAAAAATAAATCAGTCTGATTTATTTCTGCCCCGGGAATATTTTCTGACCAAACGGACTTTTCATTCGGGACAGCGCAGAAAGACAGTGCAGATGCACCAGCATGCGGCCGGTTAGCAGTAAGGAAAGCTGCAGGGACTCTATTCTCTCTTAGTTTTCCTGCGCTTGTCCTCTGAAAAGCGGCGGGATGGAGCCACAGTAGGTAGATAGATAGTGACCAGGAGAACTTCCCGGACCAGCGAAATTAAAGCATATCTAATGTTTGCGGGACCAGCCAGCCGGGGGTGGATAGAATTGAACCATACTCTACCTAGAAGAGCATAGTGTTTCAGAAACGATTGTTTCAGATGATTCCAAGCGTCTAAACTGCTGCAAGAGCGGAGAGGACGACGCCATGGGATACATGAATGTGCAGCGCACCAGACGTGGCCCCTCTGCTTCCTGCTCCGAACGAGACTAGGATTATCACGGGGAAAGAGACGTATAAAGTCATCCACTCTTTGAACGCACAGCGATCAAAGGGCGACAAGAACCTGGACGGTTTAGGAAGAGAGCAGGGGGAGAAACGGCCAGCCAGACCCGCATTGAAGGCGCGATGCAACAGCAGCCTCAGCCTACTGCTGTACTCCCGCACCACTGAGGCGGCAAAGTCAAAAGGAAAAGCACGAAACACAAAAGGCAGTAGAAGGGAAACGAAAGCAATACAATTTTGACTATGAAAAAGAAGAAGGACTGGCATGGGAAAAAAGAACCATGTCAAATAGAAAGAAAACTGGAAGGGAAGCTCAACCGTCCCACTAATAGCGAGACAGGTGCCATGACTTGGAGCAAAGGATTCTAGTAAGAGAGCAGCGCGTTCCAGCCATGAGCATCATGAACGCTAGACAATGATTGATAGGTGGACATTGCGCCCCAAGACGTTGGGTCAACGGACTAGAATCGATAGGACTGGAAGCTTGAGGAGCGAGGTTCGGGGGCTAGCTCCAGCTGCAGGAAGTAGCGCGGTCGATCCATCCCGAAAGACAGCACCTCATCGCCCCGTAACAGTATGCTGTGCTCCGTTGAGCGCTTCATGATAATCTAGTAGCTGTAACAGAACCTGACGAAGGAAGCAAACAATCTATGCGCTGTGCTTCGATTCAATTGAGGATTGCGGCATCTTCAAGCCTTTATGGCATACTGGAAACAAACCACCTAGAAACCAGCATGCCAGACAAGAAACGGAGTGAATGAGGTCGGGATGGTGAAAACGACGCTCGAAGCAGAAGTGGGGTAGACTCTTTTGACTGGAGTAGTAATTCGGGAGGCTGGGACGGATACGACTGATGGACACTGATGGCGTACTGCAAAAATCGACCCGACATTCGAGCACAGCAATCCATCGAACCTGCAGTCGATCAGAAAGTGTGAGACTCATACAATGGCCCACATTGGTTACTGTGTTAACAAGCTTAGGAGCATGCATAAAATATAGAGTGTGGGATTATCGCAAATAATCATAATAAATAGCAGAATAAGCGGGCAAATGAGAACGAGAGAAAGTAAAACAACCAAAAAATACTAAGGTATGAGATGAAGAAAAAATTCCCCAATAAAGGAACAAGGTCAAGGAGACACAATGGCTCAGACCTTGGTCGAACGCTGTCATAGCGAGTCGAATTTGATGCCACTGCATTCCCTTCATTGATCATTGTACATTGTAAGTGTGCTGCATCATTGTCGGAAGAGACTCTGTAGCATGATCAACCCAGCCAATGTTGGCTCCGTTCCTTGTTTAATGGAAATTCTACTGTTCCGTACAAGGTTGAAGCACGGAGTAAATGCATCGTGTTTGTTCTTGGACACGACGAAAGTGGTCAAATCAGAAAGGACGCATCGTATTACTTGCATCTTAGCAAGCATGGAACTTGTCGCATTGGATCGATAACAGCATAGTTTTATGCACGAGAATCAGCGGCATGCAGGAGAGGCAACGCCCCGCCGGTTTGAATCAACCGGCAGAGTGTAGTTCAACATGGCAGTTTCAGGCATTCCGCATGGACCACTTGTCAATGAATGACCTCCTTTTTCTGATTCGCCATCGACTGTGGAAGTATAACCTTCATGAAAGCTGTTTCTTCATCTGTGTGATTTGGCGTAGTCAGTCCTTAACACAAAGAGTAGGAGTACTTTGAGGTCAAACTGAGAGAGTATTCAAGGAGGTGGTCAAGTTTCAGTGGCGCAGCCATGCAGGTACCTTAGTACTACCTTAGGTGTGAATGTACCTCGTAAGAAACAGGTAAAATAAGATAAATTACTGTAGGTAAGACACCTAGGTACTCTCTACCTTACCTAAGGTACCTAAGATGTGCCTTTCGCGCAGTACTGTCACAGCAGTCAAGGGTAACATAAATTTCTTACCTTAGTATTCCCTGAGGTACCCAAGGTAGGTACTCGGTACCTCAGGTACCTATTATTCCATACAAGTACCACTACCAAACCATCCATCCTGATGCGTTGAAGATCTTCAGGCTCTCACTATTGACATCTACTCTAGTTGGCATTGCCGCTCCACTATACGGATTAGTCTAAGTATTCATTTCATGACCTCACAAACAAGAATGGCGCCGTCTATGGCTCATTTCTTCTCCATAATAGGTAGTTTGCAATTCATGTCGACAGCTACTGTACTACCGGGGCGGGGTGTTCGACCAGCAAGTGGGCTATCTTTCCTTGGTAAATATGTACATTCATTACCCAGGTAACATTATTACAGCTTGCTGACGGACGGAAGGCCAGTATTATTATTCTTCCCTTGCGAAACCTCCCCTCAGCAGAAGGTAGTAGTAATGATCGTTATTCCTCCTCTTCTACCACAATAGTCACAACTTCACCATTCCCTTGTCCATCTAGAGTTCGAGCACTTCTCGTCCATTTTGTTCTCGGGGAGCTTCTAACACTCTATGAGTAAGAAATTCAAATTCGGATAACAGAAGGAAATGACTGGCTCTTAGACGCCGAAAGCTTTCGTGTCCAACTGGCATGTTTCGAGACGACCCCAGCTCATGTGCAGCCACACACACCCGTTCCCTTTGTATCCAGCTGAAACAACTTCCTCGCCTCGCTCATGCATAACTCATAATTTTTTTTTTTTTTTTTTTTCCGCCACATATTCTATGGCTGAATTGCTCTTCTGATTTACAGCTTTATGACGGTTTGACCTCCGCTGCAAGTGTTCGTTCCCACTTAGTCCGCTCCAAATACCCATGCATAATTGAAAGTGCGACAACAGTGTCCAATCACTACCCGCCTCAAATCGCACCACTTCGAGTGAATCGCTTAAGAAGACAGAAACAATTCAGGAACACGGGTCGCGACTATATTGTCAGAGTTCGTTGAATTTTTCACGCGCATAATTTGCTCGTTTCCCATTGTACTTGATACTGACCCGGCCGAGCAAGTTCTGCAGAAGCTGAAGGAGTCCAAGGATGGGAGGGGATTTTCGGTTGAGGGACCAGGATGTACAATCCCCACTATGAACATGCAGCAGTGTTGCTCTGCAGTCTCTGCAATCCTACGCGTTAGAGGAACAATGAGAGATGAGAGGATTACATCCTAGACATCGCCTGGCAAACTTCGTCTTCTGCATTACTCCAGC